TGGCGCTGAATCTGATACGATATCGTGGATGAGATAAACATAAAGTGAATGGATGAATTCAGTTTGTTTCAATAATTCTTGTACCTGTAGTTGCTGAATATCTTGTGATGAAATAAATAGTACCATTTTTTTATTTAGTATATAATATTCAAACAGTATCAAAATTCAAGTTCTAAATGTAGTGTTACATGCTGAATCTAAAATAATCTTCTCGAGCTTCTTCAACAGAAGAAACAGTCAAATCTGCTAAAGTTATTGAAAATTGAGCATATTTTCAATGCAAAATATGAGAGATTTTTATTAGTTTCTGTAGTTCTTTCTAAGCTTTTTTATTATTAAAAATATGGTAACAACACTTGTTAGCATGAATTTCTTGTAGAACTCATCAAACTGTATCTGCCTATGTAAAGATATCTAGAAAACCACATTTTGCTCGGCTTTTAATCATTCGCACGTTACAAGCGGGAATTGCACCAGCAACGAACAGATATCGTCTATCATTAGTTTATAATGTTAGCGTTAAGAGACAAAAAGCACAATTTTGTTCAAAAATTTTGTTGCCTGTTTTGAATGAAAAATATGTCCATAATGTTTGTCTGGCATTAACAAGTTGTTATAAAGATATTAAAGGCCCAACAAAATTAATTATTCCCTTGGATTATGAATATAAAAGTAAATAATTGTTTTTATTACTAAATTAACTCAAAAATTATATTCTATTAGGTTGTTAACTAAGTTCTGAGCGCTAATATTTTTCAAATAATTTTTCACAGAAATGAGGTAGAGAGCTGCGATTTTAACTATTTTTGCTTAGTCAAGGTCTTAAGACATGTTTTTATAAGCAGAAACTTGTTTCAAAATTTTCTGTAAGTCCGATTTTTCAGAGGATGTTTGGAAAACTAGCTCCGTTCTCAGAAAACTAACATACAATGTTAGCAATTATTTTCCATGCGTAGAGAGTCCGTACGTTACTCTGCAAAGTTATGCAAATCCAAACTCTCCAGCTATCGTCGTTCTGTCTGACCGAGATGTAAGGATTTTAATTTAACTTTTGATTTAACTTTTGCTAGTAACAGGCGAAAAACCTGTTTTTCACAAAAATGCCTCCGGCGAAGTTATTTTCATGTATGCATAAAAACAAATGTTGCCACTACGCTCAGCGTAGTCGATTACCTATATTCCATGGCATTTCAAGATTCCCAGAGATGTCTACTAGGAAACAGATACGTGCTCGGGGGAAGCGAGCCCTGTCAGAACGACGATAGCTGAAAGCTGGGACTTGCATAATTTTGTAGAGTAACGTAGGAACTCTCTACGCATGGAAAATAATTGCTAACATTGTATGTTAGTTTTCTGAGAACGGAGCTAGTTTTCCAAAGATCCTCTGGAAAATCGAACTTACAGAAAATTTTGAAACAAGTTTCTGCTTATAAAAACATGTCTTAAGGCCTTGGCTAATCAACAGTTAAAATTGCAGGTCTCTATCTCATTTCTGTGAAAAATTATTCGAAAAATATTAGCGCTCAGAACTTAGGTAACAACCTAATATATATTTTCGACAAAAGCTAATATGTCATCGAAAAAGTCATTAATAGTCTCCAGGGCTTAGTGGCTGGACGTTGAACTTGGTCTGGTGACTCACGAGGGAACATTCCCAGGTGCCCCGCTCCAATTTCGTTCTTTCATGCATTATTCGATAGGGGGTCTCGAGTAGATAAAAAGCCTAAAAGGATATCAGCTGACGACTCTTTAAGACCCGGTTTTGTGGAAAACTAATTTTCCAGAAACTCTAAAAGAATAACCAAAACCTTTGTTAATGAGACATGATTGTAGCCCGCGAAATTCTCATAAAAATGAGACATCTCCCAGCGCTACATGACCTTTCTTTGCAAAGTTATAGAATTTACAAGAAAAGCCCTAAATTAATTTCTTCTGATTTCTGCAGCTTTGAGTTGACAGTGTCAACTTGACACTGAACATTCAGGGCTTTTCTTGTAAATTCTATAACTTTGCAAAGAAAGGTCATGTAGAGCTGGGAGATGCCTCATTTTTATGAGAATTTTGCGGACTACAATCATGTCTCATTAACAAATGTTTTGGTTATTCTGTTAGAGTTTCTGAAAAACTTGTTTTCCACAAAACCGGGTCTTAAAGAGTCGTTAGCCGATCTCCTTTTAGGCTTTTATCTACTCGAGACCCCCTATCGAATGATGCATGAACGAACGAAATCGGAGCGGGGCACCTGGGAATGTTCCCTCGTCAGTCTCATACCCACCCTACACTTTTACGTCATTACCCTTTTATGCCTTTTTGAAATTTTTCAATAGACAGGCTTTCGGCAGTATCGAATTTCCAGCGAAAACTTTCGACACACTAAAAATTCGACAGTGTCGAAAGTTTTCACGCGAAATGCAAACAGAGCAGACTGTCACGTTTTGAATCATTTGTGATAAAAAGCTGACATTTTGGTCATTTTGTAGTAACAGAGCGTAGAAAAATTACGTTCAGCTTTCAGATCTGCCATAGTGTACAGCCCATAGACTGAGAAACCTTATCCAACTTTTCTTACCTGCATGAAGCGTCATCTACTCTCCAAATCTGTGCAAGTCCACAATCTTTCAAAAATTCAGCAGCAGGTGATTCCCACACGTTTTTTTGGCAAAAAATATTTGAGTCAAAATAAGTTAATACATTAGATAGCGCGCGTAAAACTCGTTTTAGAAAGATAACTTAAATCTTCGTCTTAGATCACAAGTATAACAAAAATAAAACTGCGAAGAAGTTTCACGATAGAATCACGTGTTGAAAATACAATGTTTACAAAATTCGAGTTATATGCTTTTCAAAGAAAAAAAATAATTTATCGCATCAATGGTTCGTCTGTTACTTGCATATTGTATGAAAACAAACAAGTATAACAATGAGCTGCTCGGTATCACTGTCAAAAGTTGTGATAGTAACAATAAATATAGGTATTAGAAATTGAAACGTATTAAACACAAAGAAAGAAGTAGAAAACGAAAACGTTATGTTAAAATGATGAAAATCTTCACATAAGGATATATACATTTTTAAACATAATAATAAAATTTGTATACTTGATACTACATTAATGGCACAACAAAAAGGAGACGAAAGTCTTGAAGAACTAACGATTTTAATGTTATGTGATAATAAAACAAATACACTTAAACGTATTGAAATTCTTTTACAACAACTTCTGTACTATCTAAAAGTCTTTTATGAACCA